AAAGCAGTCTTTTCTAACTGGTCTACTGGGAAAATGAGTAATAACGATAGAGAGCTGACAGTACACATCTATATAAAATACATTTTGTTTCCTGCCTGGAGCTCACCTTCAGCAGACATTATTATAACCAAAGAAGGGGGTGTGGAGTTGGAATTGCCATGTCATTACTAAATATGTTTCTGGGAAGATCACCACTGTGCTTGTTTTTACCAAGTTAAATTGGAGCTAGTTAACACTTACCTCCACAGCAAAACAAAGTATCAGCATAGTTTGAAAGACAAGAGTTCCCAAAGCAAAAGACCCTGGTGCAGGTGAATTGTTTTCTGGGCAGCTAATAACAATATCTGCCAGTTATGGAGTCCCTTGTATGTGATTAAACACTGGACCCAAGACGTGACAAGTCTTGTCAAGTTCCGACAGCAGCCCTGCAATCAGGTGGTATTACACATCAATTCTATGAGGAAGCTGAAACTCGGAGGGTGTAACTTGCCCAGACACATTTCTTTACAACTGCAGATTTAAAAACTGCAGATTAGGTCAGGCATGGTGGCTCAACACAGGCATGGATGCCTGTATTACCAGCAATTTAGGAGGCCAAGGCTGGAGGACTGTTTGAGCCTAGGAGTTTGAGACTAGCCTAGGCAACATAGAGACCTAATCTCTACAAAAAAATGAAATAAATTTTTAATTAGCCAGGCATGGTGGTATGTGGCTGTAGTTCCACCTACTTGGGAGGCTGAGGTGGGAGGATCGCATGAGCACAGGAAGTCAAGTCTGCAGTGAGCTGTGATCATTTCACTGCACTCCAGCCTGGGTGACAGAGTGAGATCATGGGATGAGACCCTGACTCAAAAATGAAAAAATAAAATAAAATAAAGCAATAAAAAATAAAAACTGCAGATGTAAATTCAGGACCGTTTCCTAAAACTCAGATCTTCCCATATGTGGCCTGCCTCTCAGGCCTGCGTGTACCCACCTGAGGCTATTTCAGCATAGAAAATTGGCATAAGAGAACATTTTACCATGAACATTTAATTACCTGATGATTACAGAACAGTACTTTCCTTTTAGAGTCCTGCAACTAATTCCACATGATTTCTTACCCTCCAAATCAGTAGATATGGAGCATCCTTTTTACAGCTTTTATGATTATAGTAGCATGTATTTTTATACTCACTTGCAAATAAAACAGTTAACATTTCCTCTTAAGTAAGGTTTCCTAATTTTCCAAAGAGGAATTAAATTAACTGACATCACCTAAAGTCACAAAGCCTAGGAGTGGCACAACCACACCAATAATGCATGTTCCTGTGTGCATCTCTACCCAAGTCTTCTTTCAAACATTCCACCGACACCACTCCACGGCAGGTCAGATGGAAAATTCAGCAGACTGCTTAAGGGCTGAGAACCTGCATCTTATAACTTGACGGCTTTACATTTCTTTCATTTTGGTTCCTTAAATTGTGTTACCACTGATTGGAAAAAAATCAATTAGTTCTCCATTTAAAAAAATGTCGGTGTGTAATGAATACTCTAAGAGTCACGGACCTGTGCATCCGGGTGTGCTCACAGAAACCTTCAGTGTTTTCCTTGGCCCATAATTCCAAACTCCCTCCACCAAACAGGTTCCTACCACCAAAGGGAAGAAGTTCAAGTCTGTAAATATCAGAGAACCACACTAATTAGAGCCACAAAAAAAAGCCTGAAATCTCCAGTAATGCCAATATTTCTGGTGACATTTCATAATTAACCTTGACCTATAAACCCTATTTGGATATATTTAGAGACAGCTGAATTAATTTCTGGAAACCTTTAGGGACAACTGTTTTTAGAATGGACTATCTCAAGTAGATGCTTGTGTACATGAATTAGCTAAGGACATAATTTGCCCTAGAAGTTGCCAAATAGCTTCTTTAATCAAAAACATTTGAAGGTTAAGGCCTGAAGGTTTTCTACAAGCCTTGTCACTACTGGTAAAAGCACCTAGCATTCATGGAGTGTTTTTACAAAAGTGCAGACCACGGTGCTGATAACTTTAATGTGGATTATCTCACTTAATTTGCCTACAAGCCTGTGAGCAAACTGATGCCCAGGAAGGTTAAGTAACTTACCCAAAGATGCTAACCTGGAAAGTCAACAAATGGGATTTAACCCATGTGAAGCATTGTTACACAGACATAAAGAAGGACAAAATTATGAACTTCGCAGCAACTTGGATGGATTTAGAGTCTATAATACTGAGTGATCTATCACAGAGACAAAGAACTGGGTACCACTTGTTCTGACTCATAAGCGGACCCTGAACAATTATCATAATACTGTAAGAAGGGGATTGGCAGTAGTGGGAAGCTGTCACAGGAGAAGGGGGAATGGGGGACACACCTTATCAATAAGGGTACCTAATCTCAAACCAGGTGAAGTGGGGACCAAAATGAGGCCCAACTTTACCTACACAATGACCATTTGTATATCTAACCCTGAATTGTGTCCCACATCTTTAAAATAAAATAAAAAATAAATAAAATAAAACAAACCATGTGAAGCCTCTGAATCCAGAATCATGTTGCCTCTTGAGTTTGTAGCCACTTTGCTGATGATGTTCCCTTTTGTTTAGCTGCTGGCAAGAACGTTTTATTGGGTTATCTCATCCTTTTTTTGCCAGGACCCGGGTAAGAACTAAGTGTCTCCTTGACCAACTTGTTTATGTTCAAGAGAGCCACTGGCAGGATGTCAATATCATCCAGGAAGCACATGGTAAATATTTGCTGAATGGATGAATCCAGTTTGGGATTTGTTAAAATAAATAACTCTATTATACCTATTATGTATTTTTTTTAAAGAAAGAGTGTCTCAAATTCTTCTCTTGTTCGGTGCTCCCTGGAACCCTATGCAAAGAGAAATCACAGAAAAGGATGGGTGAACACAGTAGTAAAGAGGACTATTTTGTAAGAAAAGAGGGCAAGGTGCTCGATACAAAGAGATGTGGCTATATACTTCCAACCTAACTCTTACATAATGAGAGGTCAGAACATCCAACAGGAGGAAGACACTGAAATCAAGGAGACCCTTGTTACGGCCTGACCTTAGAAGAGAGACAACCCACAGAATGGGAAAAAAAATTTGCTAATTATGTATTTGACAAAGGCCTAATATCCAGGATCTACAAGGAACTCAAACCCACGAGCTGAAAGGAAAAACACAATCTTCAAAAAGTGGGCAAAGGACATGAACAGACGTGTTTCAAAAGAAGATATATAAGCAGCCAACAGATATATGAAAAATGTCCATCCTCGCTAATTATCAGGGAAATGCGAATCAAAACCACAATGAGATACCACCTAACTTCAGTTAGGATGACCCTCATCAATAAATCAGAAAACAATAGACGCTGGCAAGGGTGCAGAGAAAAGGGAATGCATCTACACTGTTAGTGGACGTGCAGATTAGTTCAGCCTCTATGTAAGCAGTGTGACGATTCCTAAAAGAACTAAAAATTGACCTTCCATACGACCCACTCTTCTGGGAATATACTCGGAGGAACATAAATCATTGTACAAAAAAGATACCTGCACACACATGTTTATAGCTGCACTATTCACAATAGCAAAAACATGGAACCAACCCCACTGCCCATCAGAAGTGGAGTGGATAAATAAAATGTGATACATAAAAACAACAGTGTATTATACAGCCATAAAGAACAAAATCATGGACTTCACAGCAAACTGGATGGAGTTGGATACCATCATATTTCCTGATGTATCACAGAAACAAAGAACTGAATATTGCATGATCTTACTCATAAGTGGAACACTAGTCACAGCACAAAGCAGAGACAGTCACTGGGTCAGGGAAGGGGGAGGTACAGTAACAACACAAAGGGTACCTAGTTCTAATCCAGAGAGAGTGAGGATCAGTTGGAGTTCCAAACTTCACCTGCATGCGGCCTACTTGTGCAGTTAACCCGTACTTGTACCCTACATCCCTATTTACCAATACAATGAGACAGGCGCCTGTCAGTAGAGAAAGAGTTTGACATTGCAAAGCGGCTGAACGCGGGGCACAGGAGGACTTCTCAAGTCTGTCTCCCCAAGAATTTCAGGCTATTTAAGGATAATTTGAACGGCAGGGGTCTAGGGGCGGGTGCTGATAGGTATGGAGGAAGTCATCCTCAGAATGATTCTCCCCCAATACGTATCAACACTCCACTGACACTCTAAGCAGCTTAGATCTTGGAGAAAGTGCTGTTGGAACTCTCTGGGTCGCCCGGATGACCTCCCGGGAGCGCCTATGGCTGTATCAAAACAACACGGTGCTGAGCTGGCGAACGCACAGCTTCGTGAGGGAGTCGGGTGGGCGAAACGCAGGGGAGCACGGAGAGGTGCGCTGGGGTGACCGAGGAGGCACAGCGCAGAAAGGCGCGAAGGGGGGGGAGGCCGGGTGGGCGCAGCGCAGGCGCAAGTGGCGAGAGGAGGCCGGTGGGCGCAGCGCAGGCTCGCGTGAGAGGGGTCCGGCGGATGGGCGCGGCGCAGGGGCGCGCGGGGCTGAGGGGCAAGCCGAGCGCAGCTCAGGAGCGCGAGGAAAGAGGAGGCGAGATGGGCCCAGCGCAGGGCCGCGTGGCAAGGCCGAGTGGGCGTGGCTGGGGGAGCCGCTGCGACTGCCCGCGGCTGCCGCCAGATGGTACCCGAGCACCGGGATCGCCGGAGCGTCCCGTCCCTCCTCCGAGGACCCCAAGCGGGCCCAGCCAACCGAGACCCTGCGCCTCGGCGACGCCCAGCGCGGGAGCAGAGCGATTGGTGCGGGCGCGGGTCCAGGGTGCAAGTGACCGCGCCGAGGCGGCTGACCTGGGACGCGGACCGGGCAGGCGGGGGCTTTCGGGAGTGGACCCCGCCGGCTCCGCCCCGCCCCGCCCCGCCCCGCCCCGCCTGTTCAGGGCCCGGCGCCGGCCCTGGCTCTCCCAGCCAGACCCCAGGACAGAGTGCGGCGCCGCCGGCGGAGACATGAACTACGCCCGCTTCATCACGGCCACCAGCGCGGCCAGGACGCCCTCCGCCATCCGGATCATGAGTGAGAGCCGGGACCTCGCCGGGGGCTGGCGGGCAGGGCCCAGAGTCACCCGACCGCGTCCGTCCATTCATTCCGCACCCGCGCGGGCTGGGTCCCGGCCCCGCGCGCACGTGCAGCCGCCCGGAGCGGTTCTCCAGCGAAGGCAGGGGACGCGGAAGGCTGCGCGCTAGAGGCGCTTCCTCGGCGGCGGGGCAGGTGCCGGGGCCGGGGCGAGCCCTGCAGCTGATGGGGACAGTCAGCCCCTGCTGTCCCGGCCCCTGCTGTCTTCTTGGTCTCGCTACCTCCCCCTTGGTCTTCTCGCTCCCTTAGTCCCCCCACCGCGAGAGGTCCAGAAAAAAACGATGCCAGATGCTGTCCTAGACCAGCGCTCTGGATCCACACGGACGGCTGTAGCAAAATTCCACACTGTGTAATTAACAAATGATACCCATGTATCTCTCACGTCCTGGAGGCTGGAAGTTTAAGGTCAAGGCTCCAGCAGATCCTGTGACTGCTGAGGGTGCCTCCCTCGTGGAGGAAGCCCTCCTGCTGTGTCCTCACCACGAAGGGGCACGAGTGTTCCTCGGCCTCTTGTCTAACGGAGTTAATCCCATTCGTGAGGCTCCAGCCTCAAAACCTGTCACCTCCTCAAGGCCTCACCTCTTCACACTACCACGTTGCGGATTAGGTTCCGACATAGGAATGCGCAGGGACACTGACGTTTAAGCCGTAGCACATTCTATTACTAGAAACTGTTAAGCTTTATGGGTTGGTTGACCATAAGGCATGCTTCACTATCTGTTTATAACAATTTTCAGCGAAAGCGTTTTCTCTTTACATGTTTACTGTAGCTGAGCTATGGACCAGGGCACCAAAGTCGACCATCTCCTTGGCTTCTGGAATGCCAAATCCAAACACGTTTCCCTTCAAAACGGCTGTTATCACCATAGAGAATGGAAAGGACATCCAGTTTGGAGAAGAGGTGATGAAGCGAGCACTGCAGTATTCTTCAAGTCCTGGGTAGGCAGCCATAGATGATATAATTTTTTTGGCTGATTTTCATGAGAACTATCTTCTAGTCCCTTGATAAAGTGACTTTGTTAACTGGGTATTCGGTGGCTAGGAAAGTTTGAGGAAGAACTTTTAAAGAATACTTAAGAGCAAAAAGATGCTGAATATTTAACATTACTTAGTGGTTAATTCTCAACTTCGAAAGGCTGGGGGATCAGTGAAGGCTTCTGAAATAAAGCGCCGTTTGAGCGGAGTCTGAACACATGAAAGACAACCAGGTGAAGGAGCACATTGGGAGAAAAAAAGGACATGGTGGTCAGGAAGCAGTGGTTTTAATAATTATATTCTCTTTCTGAACAAGCAGTTGTGCACATACATTGCCCTCATGGTTCAGATGTCTTCGATTTCTTTTTTGAGTTGGAGTCACACACTGTCACCCAGGCTGGAGTTCAGCGGCACGTTCACGGCCACCGCAGCCTTGACCTGCTGGGTTCCGTGATCCTTCTGCCTCAGTCTTCCAAGCAGCTGGCACTACAGGTGCACACTACCATGCCCGGCTAATTTTTTGATTTATTGTAGAGACGAGGTCTCGCCAAGTTGCCCAAGCTGAACCCCTGAGCTCAGGTAGTTCTCTCGCCTTGGCCTCCCAAAGTACTGGGATTACAGGCTTGAGCTACTGTGCCCAGCCTTTTCAATTTCCTGAAGGCAAGCAGAAACACGTACCTTAAAACTTTCATTAGCTGATTTTCTTCCATTGATAAGGGATAATTTGTGAAGTGTATAAGTTATATGTTATTAAAACCTTCTTTGTTCTATAATTGAAAAATATATTGACATACATGTTTTTCATATGCATTAATTATATAATGTGTAATATAGACATAGGTTTTTCTTTCCATTTTGCAAAGAACTTAATAAACCTGAACTTCTAGGTAGCCATAGAAATCTTGAGAGAGCAAAGAATCGATTATACAATGAATACTCTAGTATACAGGATAGACTTCAGGTTTGGAATAAGAAGGATGTAGATTCCAATCTCAGCTCATCAATTAATTATTGACTTTATGAGTTTCTGGGTGATTGACTTTATGTGTATTTTCAGATCTCTAAATCTATTGCCTATCTTTTAAATGGGACTATTAATACTGACAAAAAGCATTTGAGGATTTTTCAATTGAATGTATAAACTGCTTAGTATAAATTTGACATTTACTTTCTATTATTTCTATGATTCTTACTACTCTAAATTTAAAAATGCCATTATATCCTTTAGAATTCCAGAGCTTTTGTCCTGGCTGAAACAGTTACAAGTAAAATTGCATAATCCTCCCACCATCCATTATCCACCTAATCAAGGACAGATGGATATATGTGTCACAAGTGGCAGCCAAGAAGGTCTTTGTAAGGTAAGACTGAAGAATTGAGTATATCTGTAAATACGGTCCTCTCTCACTTAACTGCAAGAGGCTTATGCTTTGTGGATTCCTGGTAGTCTTTTACCTAGAATTATAAACAGAGAGTTCAAAAGGGATGTGTGTATATGCAGAATGGGGGTTGGGGTGTGGACTATTTGCAAAAGTCAAGTAGAAAAACTATAGATTAATCCTATAGATATTCCCCTCTAATTTCCCTCATTGTGAGCACAAGGACTTTGAAAAATTATCTGCTCTTAGCATCATTCACTAACCTAATTTTTCTTAAAAATGGAGCATGTAGTCAATGACCCAGTGCTATGAGTCATTAAAACAAGATTCCCACTAAGGGAGTGCTCAGATTCTACTGAAAGTTTAGTGAGAGTGGCTTGATTTCATCTGGCTCAAAGATTCAGGTTACATTGGTTTCTGCCTTTAGTTATGAGATTTTACAAAATTCTTAAATTTTGTAGCAGGCACGTCCTCATCATCTTGAGATGGGTGTTATTCCATTGCATGTCTATGGGATCTCGACTTGTATCTTGACCCCTCTTGGTTGCACTCCTCTGGATCTGTTTATGTGTCTGTGTCTCTGACTTCTCTCTCTGGGTTAGTTTCCGTTCTTCCTCCCCTTCTCCCTCTACACCAGTTATTCCATCTGTCTCCCTTCTGGGTTCCAGGAACTTCACAGATATAACCACCACTGGGTAGTTCCCACAATAAAAAGACTGTACCTATGGTCCTCAGTTTCATATGTTTTTTGTCTTTTTTTCCTTTTTCCTTTTTCCCTTTAATAAGATTCTCTACATTTGGTCTCCCATCTAGGTTAATATATATGACTCCTATTTATCTTTATCTTTAATCAGAATAGCTTTTTTTCTTCATTTTTATGGAAATGTGAAAACTGCAATCTGGTTCACTTTAATGAATCTTAATTATTATTACAGAATATTGGATTATAGTGATAAAAATTTGTTAAAGATTGTATTGAATTTTTTAAAAAGTCCTTACTCTTTTTGTATTTAATTAGAACAAGTAAAAGGATTAGCTACTGTCTGCTTTTTTGCTTAAAGAGAAATAATTGTGAGTCTATGGAGTGAGATTTAAGTCTTTTTCAATGGAATTCTTTTCTTGGGAAAACATGCTATGAAGTTTTTCTTCTACAAAGATTCTCAGGACAGTTTCTTCTTTATCTGTCATAATACCAGTCATATCAACAAGGGAAATATCATGCCAAATACAGCAATAATTCAATACTCATAGACGTGCTTATTACAGGGGCCTTAGTAGGAATCTGATTTAAGAATTCTTTCACTTTGTTCTCCAGGATCAGTGTTATTTCAGGCTTCTGGGTTTTTGTCTTGTCTATCAAACAGTGCTGCTGCTGGATGATAATAACCTTCCCTTTTAATTTAGGATATTTGAAATTTGGATGTCCCCTAATTGATATAGAAAATATATTTACGGTTGACCATTGAACAATGCAGGAGTTAAAGGTGCTGTCCCTCCCACATGGTTGAAAATTCACATATAACTTATGACTCCCCTAACAGTCAACTACTAATAGCCTAATAGCCTTCTGTTGACAAAAAACCCTACCAGTAACAGTCAATTAACACATAGTTTGTATGTTGTGTGTATTATATACTGTATTCTTATAATGAAGTAAGCTGAAGAAAATAAAATGTTATTAAAAATGTTATATAAGGGGCAATCCCTTCAAGTCCCCTCCCACTATGGGAACTTTTCTGTCCTCTCAATAAACCCTGCTTTCTTTTAAAAAAAAAAATGTTATATAAGAACCCCAGTAATCTGGGTCTCCCTCCTAGTCTTGGTGTAGCCAAGAGTGCACTCTTGCTGGGTGCTGAAGCTTCTTCTCCCCATTCCCTATACTCCCCTCAAAGGCTCAAAATAGAGAACTTGGTAATTCCCAGAGCTCTCCTCTCCATTTAGGTAGGCAGGATACTTCCTAGGAGCAAAACTTGCCAAGGAGAAACCCCACAGCCATCATCATAGATGGCTTTCTCCCACAAGTGCCAGCTCCTGGCAAGAAGTCAACAGTGTAACCCACTACATGGGATATAATACCTCAGTTTTGGGGAAGGACTAATCCCAAGCACCAGCAAATGCCACTTTCTGAACCACTCTGGCCACTCAGAATGCCATGAGCCACTGCAGACACTCAGCACAGGACCACCACAGCCAGCAATTGAGAAACTCACCAAACCAAGGAAGCCCTACAGTGCCTATGTCAGCCCCCTGCCAACCTCAAATAAGAAGAAATAGTTTACCCAGTGAGAAGGAACCAGAAAAATAATTCTGACAATATGAAGAAAACAGAGAGTTATCCAGCACTCCCAAAAGACCACACCAGCTATTCGACAACAAATCCTAACCAAAATGAAATTTTTGAAATTCCACAGATAGAATTCAAAGGGTTGATTATAAAATTAATCTATGCACTTCATTTAGGGAAGTACAAAATACAATGGAAAGTTTTAACAGTAGACTAGAACAAGCAGAAGAAAGGATTTCAGAAATTGAAGATAAGCCTTTTGAATTAACCTAATCAGACAACAATAAAGAAAAAAGAATCAAAAGAATGGAGTAAAGTCTTTAAGAAATGTGGGATGATGTATAAAATTCAAACCTAAGGATCAGAGGTATTCCTGAGGAAGGAAAGAAAGTGACAGGATTGAAAAACAATTTGAAGGAATAATGAAAGAAAATGCCACTGGCCTTGCCAGAAATCTAAATTTCAGATACAAGAAGCCCAAAGAACCTCCATAAGATTCATTGCAAAAAGGTCATCCCCAAGGCACATAATCATTCAGTTATGTAAAGTTACTGTGAAGGAAGAAAATTTAAGAACAATGAGACAAAAGCATCAAATAACTTCCAAAAGTAAACCTATCAAACTAACAGCAAACTTCTCAGAAGAAGCCCTTCAAGTCATAGGGAATTGGGACCCCATCTTGAATCTCCTCAAACACAATAACAGTCAGCCAAGGATTTTGTATCCCACAAAACTAAGTTTCATAAATGAAAGAGAAATGAAATATTTCTCAGACAAGCATATGCTGAGGGAATTTGTCACCACTAGAGGAAATTTGTCACCACTAGACTGGCTGTACAAGAAATAATCAAAAGAGTTCTAAATACTGAAATGAAAGGTCAAAATACACCAGTAGAAAATTGCTGGAAGCCATAAAACTCACAAGCCTTATGGAACACCAACATGCTAGAGAAAATAAATAAAGCAAGCAGACAACAACCAGTATGATGAATGAAATAGTGCCTTACATAACATTATTAACCCTGAGCATAAGTGGCTTCAATGCCCCACAAAAATGATATAGACTGGCAGAATAGATTAACCACACACACGCGTGCACACGCACGTACACACACACACACACACACACCAAATATCTGCTGCCTTCAAGAGATGCAGTTAACCTATAAAGACTCCTTATAGACTCAAGGTAAAGGGGTAGGGAAATATATTCTACACAAATGGAAACCAAAAACAAACAGGAATAGTGGTTGTTGTATCAGATAAAACAGACTTTAAATTAACAACTGTAAAAAAAGATAAAGGTGGTTTTCTTATAATGACAAAGGGATCAATCCAACAAGAAGACAACAATTTTAAATATATATGTTTCCAACACCTGAGCCCCTGGCTTTGTAAAACTAATTCTATTATACCTAAAAAGAAAAAAAAAAAGTCAACAAAGAAACACTGGAGTTAAACTGGACTCTAGAGCAAATGGAGCTAAGAGACATCTACAAAACACTCCATCCCAAAACTACAGAATTTACATTTTTCTCATCAGTACATGGAACAGTCTCCAGGATAGACCATATAGTAAGGCACAAATCAAGGCTTAATAAATTAAAAAACAAAACAAAATATCAAGCATCTTCTCATACCACAGTGGACCAACACTAGAAACTAACTACAAGAAAAACTTGTGAAACCAAACAAAAACATAGAAGTTAAACAATCTGCTCCTGAATGATCCTTGAGTCACCAACAAAATGAAGACAGAAATTTTAAAATTCCTTAAAATGAATGACAACAATGAAAGAAGGTATCAAAACCTCTGGGACACAAAGTTGTGCTCAAGAAAATTTATAGTGCTTAAGGCCTACATTAATAAGACTGAAAGGTCATATAACAACAAGCTAACATCACTCCTCAAGGTACTAGAAAAACACGAACAAACCAAACCCAAAACTAGCAGAAGAAAAGAAATAATGAAGATCAGAGCAGAACTAAACAAAATTGAAATTAAAAAAAATACAAAAGATCAATGAAACAAAAAGTTGGTTCTTTGAAAAGATAAATAAAATTGATAGACTACTAGCTAGATTAATAAGAAACAAAGAGAGAATATTCTAATTAGCTCAATTAGAAATGAAAATGGAGACATTTACAGTGATAGAAATTCAAAAGATCATTCAAGACTATTATGAACACCTCTATACAAACAAACTAGACAATCTAGAAGAAATGGGTAAATTTTGGAAACGTGAGACCCTCAACCTTGAATCAAGAAGAACAGACCAATAGTGAATAACAAAACTGAAACAGTAATTAGAAGTCTCCCCCGACACCAAAAAAAAAAAAAAAAAAAATCCAGGACACATGGACTCATAGCTGAATCCTGCTAGACCTTCAAAAAAGAACTAACACCAATTTTACTAAAGCTATTCCACAAGATTAAAGAGGAGAGACTCCTCTCTAACTCATTCTATGAGGGCAGTAACTCAGATGCCAAAGCCAGGAAAAAGACACAACAAAAATAGAAAACTACAGACCAATATCCCTTATGAACGTAGACATGAAAATCTTCAACAAAATATTAGCAAATCAAATTCAATAACACATTTAAAAAATAATAAAAGTGGATTTTGTCCAAGGGATGCAAGGGTATTTCAACATATGCAAGTCAATAAATGTGATCCACTACATAAACAGAATTTTT